ACATTACGGCCACGATCCAGGGTTCGCCTTAGGGTTCTGGAAGCTCTTGGGTTGTGGATAGAATTGTATACATTCTCCTGCTTTTCCTGAAAGTAATTTTCCTAATTTTTACAACACTGATGTGAGATTTAACATCAGGGTATTGTCCTGGTGAATTGGAGATTACATCAAGGGAGTTGTATTTGTGATGTGAAAACACCATCACGATATTATCAAACTTTATGCCCCCCCCCCAGTGGCACAGCGGTATGTCTACGGACTTCCAACGCTAGAATCCGGGTTTCGATACCCGTGTTGGGCAGAACACAGATAGCCCATTGTGTAGATTTGTGCTTAATTACAAACAAAAATCAACGAGTCTGAGAGTGATCGGTTGTTCCCAGGAGAATACAAATAAAATAAATCATTACAGGTAACTACACGTGGTCAGCGTGATTATAAATAACTTTAACCACAATTCATCAAATTGACCATTGTTAAATTTATGGCTGCAAGATTCAAGATGGTTGATTCATTATCTTCTGACATATAATGTATGCATTAATTGCCTACATTAATAATTATTATATTAGACAAAGAGTATAAAATTATAGTATTAATAATTATCTTTTGGATATATACATATAAAGACACACACACAGTTTCTATACGCAATAAAAAATGCCATCTGGTGATTGAAACATGTCATTAAAATTGTTTAAAATCACCGTCAAAAAGACTTTAAACAGGATTTCCTTATTATGACAAATAAACACCGTAAATTTAGAAAGTCTTTAACTGGATGTATATCTATAAGAGAGAGCACTGGTGAATACACAAAACTTTAAATGTAAACGTGCCTAAGTACTTTCTGAATTTCCCTTATGTGGGGGCATACACACAAGAACCATCTTACAGCAACTTCAGTCGTCAGCCCCTCCCCTTCCTTTCGGCGGGGCATTTCCCCGTGTTTGCTCGGTAGATTAAATCAGAGTTACAAACAAAAGCACGCGTTTCCCTCATAGGGGCGGTCACTATCTTACACGACACTGCTCTCCAGTCGCGTTCGAAGTAATTATTCACAAACTGGCGTTTAATAATTTAAACTGGACTTTACGTGAGGCCTAACATTCCGAGGGAAATCCATTACTGGGACATGCATAACATAGACGTGTTTATATAACTTGTGAAGGTCATTAAAGTAAAGCAGTCTATTTACTCTAAGAATAATTTGTAGTTACTGTGCATATAAACACCGTTTTAAAGAATTCGAGCCCATGCAGTTAGCTGTTTAAGAAAAATATGGTAGTTAACTAAGAAAGTAAACCAAAACATTAAGAAGTAACAAGGCAATGACAGTTCTGTACACGTAATGTGATACAGTTCACTTGAACATTATTAGTAAATGAGAACTTATGAGAAAAGTTAGCTAAAACGGCCAGATCGGATACTCCAAAGTTCAAGCATGATCGTCCTAATTTTGAACTTTGACCAGAATGAGGGCAACCACTCAGCAGCACTCAGATCGGATACTCCAAAGTTCAAGCATGATCGTCCCTAATTTTGAACTTTTGACCAGAATGAGGGCAACCACTCAGCAGCACTAAGATCGGATACTCCAAAGTTCAAGCATAATCGTCCCTAATTTTGAACTTCTGACCAGAGTGAGGGCAACCACTCAGCAGCACCCAGATCGGATACTCCAAAGTTCAAGCATAATCGTCCCTAATTTTGAACTTCTGACCAGAGTGAGGGCAACCACTCAGCAGCACCCGGATCGGATACTCCAAAGTTCAAGCATGATCGTCCCTAATTTTGAACTTCTGACCAGAGTGAGGGCAACCACTCAGATCGGATACTCCAAAGTTCAAGCATGATCGTCCCTAATTTTGAACTTCTGACCAGAATGAGGGCAACCACTCAGATCGGATACTCCAAAGTTCAATCATGATCGTCCCTAATTTTGAACTTCTGGCCAGAGTGAGGACAACCACTCAGCAGCACCCACCGCTTACAAGGCTACCCTTAATTAAATAATGGATCGTGTTCTGCAGCGTGTCGCGGGATAGACATTGGACCTTACGTTGCGCAGCCCGGTACACTAAACACAAGGGGATCTTGAAGGTTATGATTAAGTTCCTCTTACAAATCGAGCGCTTTTATTACTTTCTTTGTCCTAACATCCACCAGGTCTACGAGATTTCCAGGTGTTATTTTCACTAAACATTATTAATACCATTCCACACCATGTTATAAATCTTGAATATAACACAGACTTGCGAATTTGAACTTCCCAAATTTCGAAAATAATATTCATTTTTTTCTATCACGTAAGGATTTTTTTGCAAATCGGGAAGAAAAAAAACTCTTACTTACATCAAATTATTATTTCGTTTACCAGCGCCCCCCAGTGGCACAGCGGTATGTCTCCGGACTTACAACGCTAGAATCCAGGTTTCGATACCCGTGGTGGGCAGAGCAAAGATAGCCCATTGTGTAGCTTTATGCTTAATTACAAACAATAACATCGTTTACCACAATGAACATTTTTATTATTATGTTTGTTAACAAAAATACAAACAAACTGAAGAAAATGGAAGAACAATGATGTCGAACGAATATGGATCCTCATTCATCCTGATTTTATTTGTGTGAAATCTACTACGTCTTTTAATCTCAAAACTACGCGTTCTGGTCTTTCTTTTACGTGTTGCGTTATGACGTTTTGTGAAAAATCTGTACTTGATGGAGAAATATAGATATCATTTTCGGATTCAGCGTACAGGAATTACTGTAGAACATGGCCAGGTGGGTAGGGCGCTCGACTCGCAATCTGAGGGTCGCGGGTTCGAATCTCCGTCACACCAAACATGCTCGCCCTTTCAGCCGTGGGGCGTTATAATGTGACGGTCAATCCCACTATTCGTTGGTAAAAGAGTAGCCCAAGAGTTAGCGGTAAGTGGTGATGTCTAGCTGCCTTCCCTCTAGTCTTACACTGTTAGGGACGACTAGCGCAGATAGCCCTTGTGTAGCTTTGAGCGAAATTCAAACCAAAAAATACTGTAGAACATGTAAAAATGTCAAGACAATAAAACCATCGCTGGCCTGTGTAATTAATGTGTATTGTTTACTTCGTTGACAGCTACATTAGGAATCTTACTGATTCTTTCAATGTAAAAAAATTCAGCCAGTCATATATAAGTTAGTTATTTTTAAACTATCATTTTGTACAGGCATAAGAAAATATGTTACAATATTTCAACCACACTACATTTGCCATATTCAGTACCAACGAGGTATTTCGCCCAATACCAGAGCTCATCAGGCTGACTCGGATACAATAGAAATAGTAGTGGTCAATATATATCATTAAAGAACAACATCTGTTATGGTGTGAAACAGATTAAGCAAGTGAATTGTAATTATTATAAATTTTATTTAGGTCATTAAGAAATAATATTATTAGGTAATAATAACTAACACAACATTGTTTATATTATTTTAACACTGTTGATTTATTTATTTATTATTATTACTTGGTTTTGAATAATAACTTTATCTTTCATTGACTAGAAACTGCAAACCAGCAAGCTAGTTTTCTTGTTTGTGTGTCTTCCCAGTGGCACAGCGGACTTACAACGATAGAAACCGGCTTTCGATACCCGTGGTGGGCAGACCACAGATAGCCCATTTTGTAGCTTTTTTGCTTAACTTCAAAGAAACTTGTGTGTGTTAACCAATATATTTCCAAGTTAAGTGAAACGTTTTTCTGTGTGTTAACTACTATATTTCCAAGTTAAGTGGAACGTTTTTCTGTGTGTTAACTGATATGTTTACAAGTTAAGTGGAACGTTTTTCTTAACTTGGAAATATAGTAGTTAACACACAGTGGAACGTTTTTCTGTGTGTTAACTAATATATTTCTAAGCTAAGTGGAATGTTTTCCTGAGTGTTAAGTGCTATATTTCCACGTTAAGTGGAACATTTTTCTGTGTGTTAACTACTATATTTCCACGTTAAGTGGAACGTTTTTCTGTGTGTTAACTAATATATTTCTAAGTTAAGTGGAACGTTTTCCTACGTGTTAACTACTATATTTCTAAATTAACAGTCCACCGGCCTGCAACCATTAACTAGGAACCGAACCCATCGCAACTGTATACACTGGAATTATGATTTCCAATATATTACTTGTTATTAAAAAACAACGAACAAACGGAACGAATCAATTACTTCAAATTTGTTCATGTAGTTTCGAGTTTGATTTCATGCCATGCTCTAGCTGAAAACAGTAGTAAGTCGTATAGACCTTATATTAAAATATAATCGTTAGTAAGTCATATATACCTTATGTTAAGATCTAATCGTTAGCAAGTCATATTGACCTTACATGATCGTATGTTAAGATCTAATCGTTAGTAAGTCATATTGACCTTATATGATCGTATGTTAAGATCTAATCGTTAGTAAGTCATATTGACCTTATGTTAAGATCTAATCGTTAGTAAGTCATATTGACCTTATATGATCGTATGTTAAGATCTAATCGTTAGTAAGTCATATTGACCTTATATGACCTTATGTTAAGATCTAATTGTTAGTAAGTCATATAGATCTTATAGGATAGTTCTGACGAATCATATGTATTTCAATCACTACAATAAAAACACTATGATAAAGAATGTATTACAATAATACTGAAGATACAGTTAGCCTGGATAATAGACGGCCATTTTCTTTTACTGGATAATAGACGGCCATTTTCTTTTATTATTATCATTGTAAGAAACGATATTTCTCTCTTTCTTCAATGTCAGTAAAATAGGCTGTTCAGTCGTAACAATCACCAAAACACAATGTCATAATGGTATAAAAATGGTAGACTTGTTAAAAAAAAGGTTGTAGGTATTATAGCAAAACACTATGTCATTTTAACAGTTCCACCATTTTTATACCATTAGAAAGCTTTTTTTGTACATTTTCTAAGCCTGAAACAAAAAGTAAAAAAAAATTAAACTTACCGAAACTACTTGTGCAATAATATCTAAGCATTTCTTCTTCTGTACAAGGACGGCATTCTAAAACAAAGAATACAACATTCTTAAACTTAAATAGCATTTTTCACAAATGTGTATATAATGTTACAGATGCTAAACTGATACGTTACAGATAAAGCTACAGATTTAACAACTATAAACTACAGAGTAACAGCTGTAAGGCGTAATGCTAAAGATGTAACAACAACAATAACGGGTGTAAATTTAACAATAAAGATAAAACTATAGATATAAAGATATAACTATAAATTACAAACACGGCAACAAATTTACAGTGGATAACGTACACACGTGAGAGCTATAAGTTAAGTGTGTCAACAGTCCTCGTGTATCTAACAACAGATGTAACAGACAAAGCACCAACTGCTACAAACATTAAGCGTAGGTAATGCTACACACGTGAAAGTTCTAAGCTACATATGGCAACAATTATAATGTATGTAATACAACAGATGTAACAACTCTAAACAATAACGTAGCAGAGCCATTACGTATAGGTAGTGCTACACACGTGAAAGTTTTAAGCTATATATGGCAACAGTTATAGTGTATGTAATACAACAGATGTAACAACTTTAAACAATAACGTAGCAGAGCCATTACGTATAGTTGTAAAATCTATGTAGTCCCGCTTGTTATTTGTATAAAGTACAAACAATCCTACACTACTTTAACAGTTGTCTTGACATATCTGTTAATATCCAGTGCTGACGATCGTGCTGTCTTCGCTCACGGTCACCTCCTGTATAACTATGGGTAACTTCTAAAGCCATGTGGACATAACCGCGTCTAACGTTTGAATAATTCCTTCTAACCGGATTAACCCTTAGGCCCAGGTCCATATCCTCTAAGGAGACCCAGAAAATAATTCGGTGTTCTTTGTTCACATTCTTGCGTGTTTTTATTTTATGTCTTCGACAAAAATTATTCTTAATCGAGTTTTATATTTTAAATAAATTTGGAAACAATCGCTCTGTCGACACTGAAGAATTATAATATTAATAGTTTAAAATTTTTATATTAAGTTGAGTTTAAGTGATAGGCTTTACATATTGTAAACATTCCGAAAAAAAACAAACAAACAGTTCTTCAAACATGTAGACTTTGGGCCATTCCTAAGCTTAACTATGTAGCAAACAGAGCTAGCAAAAGATGCATACGGCCACATATTTAGAATGTTCCAGCAAAACCTGGTGTTTTAGAGCTGAATAAATATTATTGACATTCACATTTTCTAACCATTTCTGTAAAAATGATGTCGGAGAATAATTTCTGTGTTATCTGAACGGAACGGTTTATTGTTCTACTTTTATCTATTTTCAAGTTAAATCGAACAGTATGTGCAGAGACTTAATGCAATTTATCCCATCCCTTCCCTGTGCTCTGACCCCGACGTTAATATCCAAAATGGTAGATAGACATTGGCCAAGTTCAGCTAACGATAAAGCTCGAGTGCACGTGCTGTCTAGATATTTGATCTTATACAACACGTGCTCTAGACACGTGACGCGCCCACTTGGACGTTCAGGGTCCACCTTCATAAACAGATGTTGGATAAAGTTCAGAACTACAATCTAATTGGTTTTTCGTGTTATGTTGCAACTATTCAATTTCCTGAGCACGTCCGTTATAAAATTTAGAATATATTTACCTATTCATACTTTCATAGCATTTACAGCTCAGATTAATCATCAGCTAATCCATGAATAGTTAGCAATACAGATACTAATCTCCCCAGTTTCCCTATACAATTTGTCTGTTAGCCGAGATGGCGCTGCTGTAAAACACAATTGATTATCGTGAGTGTATAAAGCTCACATTAAAAAAAAACGAATCAATTAATAATAATAAAAAACACACACCAAAAATAACACGTTTTTGTCCTTCTGTTAGCCGAGATGGCGCTGCTGTAAAACACAATTGATTACCGTGAGTGTATAAAGCTCACATTAAAAAAATAAACGAATCAATTAATAATAATAAAAAACACACACACCAAAAATAACAGGTTTTTGTTCTTGTAGGTTTATATGATGCTCTAAATGATACTGTGCCGTGAAATAATAATTGTTTATTTGAAATTATTCTCTGACGGTCACCAGAATCTGCTTACGTGAGTAATTAGTGTTTTGATTTATTAAATTACGTCAAATAATGAGTTTTAATTAATTCCATGACGTATTGGGTTTGTACACTTTTATTTAATGGTCAGGGATTCTATCGTAATGACTAATTAATAGAGACTGTTCACCAACGTTTCATCAACACTTTATTATTACATAAATCTTAAAATACAATTATTAAACCCAACCATTTTTTTTTTTATTTACAAAGAATGGTAAGCACAAAGAATTACACAGTCATTGTAAACACTCCGTTTGGTCAGCTCGACTCACAATCTGAGGGTCGCGGGTTCGAATCCGCATCCCACCCAACATGCTCACCCTTTCAGTCGTG